TGGGCTTTATCCTGCACATTGCATTTGGAGGGGTACCAACTAACAATCTCTTAATCAAATAGTTCAGGATTGAATTTGATTCTAATTGAGTTCAATTTGAGTTTGAATCTTGAGGTAAGTTTGATTAGTTATTTGAATTTGAGTTTAAATAAAAAAAAAATTGGTTTTTGGCTCAAAAGCTTGTAAGTTTAACTCAATTAACATATATACATATATTATAGAATATAAACATATATTCTATAATATATATTATGAAGTTATGTTTTTACATAAACTACATATATTTTTATATTCTATATATAATATAAGAATATGCTATGTATTATAAAAAAAATATATCATATTTTTATAAAATATAAAACTATATTCAATTTTGAGATCATCAAATATTTAATTGAATCGAGCTTCAACTAGGAAATAGAGTTCAAATCAAATTCAACCCTAATAGTGTTTTACTTGAATTGAGCCAAGATATGCAAAAGTTAGGTTTGGCTTGGCTCAATTGCACCCCTAATTTTAGCAGTAGTTAGGTCATCAATAGGTGATGTTTGGCATTAATGTTGATTCTTTCTTATCAATTTTTCAAAAAATGGTGAATTTTGTTATTTGGTATCATTTCTGCCATGTAAACCAATTTTGAGGAAATTGACTTTGAGTCTTTTCGGTATTAATTGTCAAACGTCAATTATTTTTGCATTGGAGTTATTATTCCATGCCACATCGGATGCCATGTCATCTTCAAAAATTCAAAATCGGTTGGAAATCAGGGAATCCCCAAAAATGGTTATCCCTAAAAGGGCTGATTTCAAGAATCAATTTTTGGCTGATTTCTCAAAAATCACCAAAACTGACCAATCAAACAGAAATTTCAATGTCGATTCCTCTAATGCTGACTTAGCTTCAACATGGTATTGGTTTTCAGAAAATTGGCATCGATGCCAAACCTCACCCTAATCTAGCTTCACCCCCAAGATTTTTGGGGTACGCAATTTTTTTATTTTATTTTTTTTCAAGAAGTCGAGGCACACAAATAGTGTGGGCCTTAAACCATAAATATATTCTAATTGAAACAAAGAAAATTTTGGGATAAGTGGACTGTAATCCATCTCAGAAATCTGAAATTGCAGTCCCCTCCTAATTTATTAGTACCCCCCCCCCCATAAATTTCATCCTACCCATAAATTTGGCATCAATCCACGGATAGGATTCAGTTCACTCCTAAAAATCTTAGCTCCAACTCTAAGGATGGACTGAACTATTAAAACCCTAAGAAATTTTTTATAGTAAAATTGAAATGAAGGATAGAATAATGTTAGGCTTTGCATTGTCAGCATTATTACCGGTTGCATAGAAATATGGAAGACAAGGGCCCTCTCGTTTACGAACCCATATTTCCTATTCTACAACTGAGCAGCTCAGTTGGTGTGCCGATGAATTGTCTCAGCGGCAGTGTGATTCCGAATCCCACTATTATCAAAGAAATTAACTATTGATATAACGTTGTACTGTTCATTAAAAGAGTAACAATCGACAAGCAGTGATTAATACTAAAAAATAGAGGTTTAAAATGGGCCATGCCACCTGTGGCCCGACATGAATTTGGACTGGCCTGGTATGATAGTTTGTGCGCTGTGTCAGGTTCGGTTTAATTGTACGGGCCGTATTGGGCCTGGGGTTTTAGGTTCATGGGCCAGACCGACACGGCATGACCAAGCAGGCTGTGCCACCCGTGGTCCGCGTGTCGATACAACTCATATATATTATTTTATATATATATATATATATATATATTTATATAATATTATATAAATTATAATTATATAATAATATATAGTATATAATATATTAATAAAATAAATATTTTTTTTATTTTATTATATTAATTTATTTAATTATTGTATATATAAACAATTTTATACATCAAGATTCATATAAAATTAAAAATTTAAGCTTTTGTCAATTTTTTTTAAATAAATAGCTTTAGCCCGATGCACGGCTCGGCATCGCCTAAGGCTGGGCCCATGGGGCAGCCCGGCCTGCGGCATGGCATGGGCTTGGGCCGTGGGCTGTGCCGGGCTGACCCCCCAAGTTATCCCTGAGGGGCGGCACGACAGGGCCCATTTTACACCTCTACAGCTCTACTAAAAAAGAAAATAAACCCAGATTTCCTATTCACTTTCTCTACCTGCTGCTACCCACGGATGAGAGCAAAGTAACCCTCCAAAATATCCCACAGCACATCTTCACCATGTATTGGGAACATCTCCCAATTATGATACCAGAAATGATGATGTCATTATTGAGAGATGTTCACAATACACGGTAGGAATATTCTGTGAGACGTTGTTGGGGGCAATCAGGTGGGGATTGATTTGAACTCCGCAGGGATATTAGAATTTGTAGAGGCATAATTTGGGCCAAATTACACTGCAGCCCCACATCCCGCAATATAAGATGTGGGTAGAGAATAGTGGGCAGGAAATCCGATTTGCTCGTTTATCCCGTGGAGGTGATTTTACAGGAAATGGTCGTCACGCGTAAAGGAAACCAACACACCTCTTCCTTCCCTTCCCTTAAAGTAGCAAGTCATTGACGTGGATAAGAAAAATGGAATTGGTATCTCTACATGCATGCACGGGCCACGGAGACGATTTTTTAGGTGTAATGTAGGTTAGTTATAGGACCCAAACCAAAACTGACATTTTCTCAATTGAGAAGCCATTCTCCCCTTCTGTCTCCCAGCTGTCGTCATTGATTGAGAAATAAACCCACAATCCACTTGTCTATCACCTACCTCTATTTATTATAGGAGTTTTTACTGCTCAGTCCATCCTCATAAATCTTACCTTAGTGCAGTATATGTATCCCTTTATTATTCTATCGGTTTTGGTAACAAATTGTCTACATGCACTTAATTCCATGAAGCAAATTAACTTTTGCCACGTGGCAAAAAGTTAATCTCTTCTATCGTCTGTTTCAGTGTATATTAAAAAAAAAAACACATCCCTCATGAAATTTGAAGTTCAGTAGGTAGGGATGATTTGATTCATGCACATAGGAAACTCGAATAATAGATTTTTGGTCTAAGACAAAAACCAAAGGCTGGGTTTGGTTTTAGATGAAATCTGGAGGCCAAAAATAAAAATAAAAAAGGGAGGTTGTTGAGATTGTTTCAAAGGTTTGAAGTGATCAAAACCTATCCATTTTTGTCTGAGTCTCTCATATCTGTTAATCAGCTTGCTTTTGGGTCTTATCCAAAAAACAATAAAAATCCTTGATCTGAAGTTTGAACCCCAAATTTATTAGCCCGAGGTGAATTAAATTATGATAATTCTGTGGTAGGAATGATGAATCCAGCACCCGAGTTATGTTTGTGTGACCCAGAACAAGAACATCCTTATAATTCAACCAACTATAAGATGGGTGATGGGTGATGGGTGATATGATCATGAAAAGGACGTTTTTAGTTTTTTTGTCAGTTTTAGTACTGCTTATTCTTTTAGGCCCATTTGGTTCATAATTGGAATTAGAATCAGAACGAGAGTTTGAATCGGAATAGGAATAGTCTATTCCCATAATATGTTTGGTTTAGACAACAATCAGAATGAAAATTGGAATAAGCTGGAATAGGATTTTATTCCAAGGGAAGGAGAGGAAATAGTCATTCTCTTAAATGGATGAATGACATTTCACTAAGAATTTGAACTAGATTCCAATTCCATCCAATTAAACAGTTGAAATTGGAGTGGCCCATTCTGATTTTAATTTAAAACCTCTATTCTACAAATCAAATGGACTCTAAAATTGATCAAAATTCCAAACACCTTTTATTTGAAAATTTCGGGGTCTTATCAGTAATCAATATAATAGAATACAACTAACTACAAGCCCCTTGAGGCACGCCTGATCTGAGGTGCAAAGCACACTAGGTGCATTCCTTTTCAAAGGGAATGCTCCTAGGCCTAGGCAAGGTGCATATCTTAAAAAATGCCTCGCCTGTGTATTTAGGCACGTCTTTTAAATCATTGCAATAAGTATTACCTATCCAAGGGATGCTTGTATTAATTGTACATATTTTTTATATTTAATAAAATTTTACAAATTACTTATAAAAACATTACCAATAAATCATTTTTTCCCAAAGGGAATTATACAAAAATCCCACAAGAAATATCCCCTTAATCCCATAAAAAATAAGAAGGTAAAGGATCAATGAAAATGCAAAAGATAACTAATAGAGATAACTTGGTGAAGATGGTAGTAAATTCTACATTAAGACCATTTTAAAGCAAATCCCTATCAAACAGCAAAAGGAAAGTTTTGACTATTAATAATTAATAATATTCATTCACATTAGTAGGTGTAGGGTAGATTCTGTACGAACTTTTTTTTAAATTGCTTTATTGAAAAAGACATAAAATAAAATGGTGGTGACTTAACCGGCAAATTATACCCGAATTAGGAATGACCAGGTCAGCCCGGAATTTTCAGGAAGACGCGCTCCATGTTGTGGAAAAAGGCCACGACCTCACCAAATCACTACTCTAGTCCTTTTATTTATTTTTCTCTTTTTATTAACACAAAACACAACATTTTAATTTTATTTGGAAAACTAGTATAGCAGTTGGATCAACAGTTGTGATATCATAAGGATGACGCGTCCCGTCCTGATCCAACGGACCTAATTCCATAAAGCAAATATAGGAAAATTGTGGAAAAGGAGCCTAACTAACTTTCCAAGGGAAGTTATCAATCGAGTACACTAAGATCTATCAAAATAATAGAAAAGACCAAATTGGACCAACGCATCAGAAAGATGGTTACTTGAACAAGGGTGATGAGATGGTGAGTGACGTAATAGCTGGGGTACATCGTAGCATACGCAATCATGACTTTTTCCTAACTCCTGTTCTCCAAGGGAGTAAAAACTAAAAACTAAAAAAGTTAATGGGATTGGAAACCGAAATCAAAAGAGAAAAATGAAATACTTGCATTTTCTGTTGTTTTCGCGGCTGGGTCCAACGCGGAGGGGAGCTTCACCAGCGTCTCCCCTCTGGCCCTGGCCCTCGCCTTCGTTGTTCTTCTCTTCAGAAAAAGTCTCCTTTGACCATCTTCTGTATTTCTTCTCTGCTTCCTTTTCCCTGCTCCAAACCTTCCTCCTATTTCATCACCGCGCCTCTCTGGCGGTCTTTTTGATGGTGTTCTTCTCTGGAATCTGTCGAGGTTCTTCTGCAAATCATGGGGGTGTGTTTTTCAACCAGTAAGGTCAGTGGCTCAAACAGCAACACCAACGCCAACGCCAACGCCAACAACAACCAAAAAGAGAACAAGAATGCTTGTTCCACGACCCAAAAGGTCTCATCACAGCAGCAGAAACAGAAGCCGCATGAGAACCACAAAAATCGATCACAACAAGTGAAGAATTCCCAGCAGCTGCAGAATAAGGACAAAGAGAACCCAAAGCGGCCGAGTGGGGTTGTTCCTTGGGGGAAGCGGACGGATTTCGGCTACGCCAAGGATTTCGATAACAGATATTCCATCGGCAAGCTATTGGGTCATGGGCAGTTTGGTTACACGTTTGTTGCCACCGACAAGTCTAATGGAGATCGGGTTGCCGTCAAGAGGATCGAGAAGAATAAGGTATTTTATAGATTGTGTCTTTTTTCTTCTACTTTTCATCTTTTTTGCATCTTCATGGTGATCTTTTGGCTTTTCACGACCCAAGTTCCATGCTTCTGCAATTGGATTTGCTGCAGTTTTCGTCAAATTTCTTTTATTTTCTTCTCTTCGCCTCTGTTTTTGTTTGGCAATTCGGGCTTGAACTATTTATTTTATTTTTTGTTACTTGGGGTTTGAAAATTGGTGTCATAGTTTGTTGTAACTTCGTTTGATTCCAATCCACTGAAACTTCTTTATTTTCTAAGGTTCAGGTAGATTCCCATACACTTATGTGGGATTCTTTTTTTTTTTTTTACTTAAATTTGTGCATGAAGCTGCAAGAATCGTATTTTCTCTTTTGTGCGACTGTCCAACTATAGGAGCAGCTGGGAATTTGCTTGTCTGGAACAGGATACTAGAATATGTGAAGTTGCCATAGTCCATAGGGTTGATGGGGCAACTTTCGCGTGGAACTTTCATCAGATTTCAGAACTACAGCTAGAGTTTTCATAGATTGGAACTTAGTCGTCTGGTTGTAAGAAATGGTGCTCTAATATCCAATCTTACTGTGATAATCATTAACATATTCGCTTGGATGGACCTAATGGAGAATTTAAACTGTCGCATCAGTAGCAGTTGTTGAATTGGGTTATCATATATATTTAGGAAACCCTTACTTGTTCCTAGAGGTGGATAGGCAAAGACCATCCCAAAAGCTGGAGGTGCTGGAAAGTAACTTTGACAAATTTCAACAGATACGTCTTTGGTGCATCTCACTTGAAAATTTTGAATAGTCTTCTAAAATTAGAATCTAGAAAGACCAAGCTAACTTAGCAAAGGTTTTCTTTACTAGAAGTGCAGATATAGAGCATGTACCTGATCGCAGTTTTTACTTTGCAGCTTCCAAATCAAGTTGTCTTTTATGTATGCTATCCTTTTTTTTTTTTTTTTGCTTTCATTTCTTTTTATTTCTGAAATCTAACTATGGAAGTTACTGAAAAATCGGAAGGGCTGGAAGAGAAAGAAAGGCTAGAACAGACAAATGAATTCAGATCATTCCAGAAACTTGCCCGAATGGCATATCTCAACCTATGCAACTTTGTTTAGGAGTGTCTACCAACTCATTCCAATTTGTCAGCCAAGACAACAATAAGTCCAACAGATGCTGCTAATTCCTTCTTTCTTTGTTTCTTTTTTACATAAAAATGTGATAGAACTTGAATCCACTAATTTTGTATAAGCTAATAACCTGGTTTAATTGATAAAAAGATTTGGCCCCAGCACAAAGGTATATACTCTAAACCAATTAACTGGACACACCTTATTATTCAGTGATTTCAATCGCAAAAGCCATTTTATCCCCCAATGATCCTAATGGTACATATTCCAAACAATAAGTACCAAATTTTTATTCTAATGACTTATAGATAATGCTTACATTATGTAGCAACTTTTCAATCAACAAATTTTTGTGAAGCAGTGAAGGCCATACATCCAAAAGTATGGTTCATTAAAAGCTGGAGTAAGAGATAGCAGCTCTCTTAAACTTTTTGGAGGACTGCGGTTTCAAGCAGGCAATAATTTACACTAGTTGATATCTTCTACTGTCTTTGTCATAATAAAACTAGTAGAGATCTATAGGACAGAGCCCAATCTTAAGAATACTTGATAATGGAGATTATACTGTATGAGAAATCTTCCATGGTCCCTTCTGCCTAGAAGCCCAATCAATAACATTTCTAGGATATGCTTCCATTCAAGTTTAGAGAAGACAAATTCCCTAGAAGTTGTAAGATTTTGTAAGATGGTAATAGGCTTGGAATTTTTAGAGACACCCTTTCAATTGGACCTGCTCTTTAACTGTTTTTGGGTGGCTTGCCTTCTTTTCTGCATTTTGTACGTATGTTCTTATAAAATTGAAAGTACTAACTTTTTTCTTTTCCTTTTCAAATATATTACTGACCTGCACCTTAGAATATGATTTTATCTACCAGTTCCCTTCCCTTTCAAGTAAAACCAAAGATAAGAGAACAGCCAGAGTCAGGTTTCATCTCTGGTTTTAATTGGATCATGTTTTCATTTTTATGATTGTTAAAGGTGGTAATTACAGCAACTGCAAGCATAATTTACTTGGCAATGGTAGAAGCTGTGGAAGGCACTTCATACCTGTTAGTCTTAATTCCAGCAATATATTTTACTTTTTTTTGTTAATGGTTTGAAAATTTTTGGTGGCAGATGATCCTTCCTATTGCTGTTGATGATGTTAAAAGAGAGGTTAAGATATTGCAAGCCCTCACAGGCCATGAGAATATGGTTCAATTCTATAATGCATTTGAGGATGATTCCTATGTCTACATAGTTATGGAGTAAGTTGTATTCTGTGGAGCTTTGCTTTCATATTATTCCGTACTCTTGGCTGATAATTTGGCAAAGCAGGGGACTCTCAGGGAAAGCTTGTTTTGGGCTGTATTGTAAGAATTGAGATTTATATGGGGTCAACACTCATGCTCTGAGTGGTTGACACTATTGTTTTTAACTGTTATTTTAATGAAAGTTACCGTTTCCAATCCAAAAAAAAAAAAATCCATACTCTTTTACTGTTTTGTAAAGTGATTCTGGGTGATCAATTTTCTTCCTCTGGTCTTTATTTATTAATTTACTCAGAATTCAGCGGTTTCGTCTTTGAGTATAACTTTGCTCCTTTCTTTCATTTTTCACTGTTTTATTTCACTTTATTTTGTCTTAATATAAATTGCTCTATTAATTTTAAGTGGTGGCTTGTTTGTACATTTTATATTAGGTTATGTGAGGGTGGTGAACTACTGGATCGAATATTGGCCAAGTAAGACACAATACTTATAGATGCTTCAGTTTTTTTTTCCTCTCTATGATGAACCCCCCCCCCCCCCCCCCCCCCCCCAGAGAAAATAAGAAAAACAAAAAGAAAAAGAAATAGGCTCAAATACAGACACACAGACAAAAAAGAGTTGTGTTGTTGCTATGGTTTGCTTGCTGCAAATCATCTTTGTACTTTTTACTTCGTTTTATCATAATAGGCTTCAGTTGCCCATGATGATAATTAACAAAAATAGCACATCCATTTCTGTTATTTCTATTTATATCATCATATCTTTTATTTTTGTCATTATTTATTATTGATTTTGGAGTTGATTCTCTTTATTCAGAAAAGATAGCCGGTATTCTGAGAAAGATGCAGCAATAATAGTGAGGCAAATGCTCAAAGTTGCAGCTGAATGTCATTTACATGGATTTGTACACCGTGACATGAAACCTGAGGTATATTCAGAGTGCACAAACATTCTAGATATAGAATTTATGCTACATAGAGCTTCCCAGCTTGAGAATACTTCTCTCTTATGCCTTTTCTTGCTTGTAGAACTTCCTTTTCAAATCAACCAAAGAGGACTCACCACTTAAGGCAACAGATTTTGGTCTATCCGACTTCATAAAACCAGGTCAGTAAAAGCTCCATAATAATGACATCTTTCCGATACTATTAAAATATGATTAACCTTTTTTCTCTCATAAGATCCACCTTCTTGTAAATTTTTAAGTTCCACTTCCTGTACAAAAGATAAATATACTATGATAAAGTTAATTAGTTTTGATGTTTATAAATCATTGAATGAGTATGTATCCTTTTGTAACTTCGATTATGTATTTGTTTTTCCTGTCTATATGAGATTTTTCATGTTTGCCAAGTAACTACATTATCCATGACCATGATTTTCAACAGGTTCCTCTTTTGTTGTCAGTGATGTTCTTTCCTTTTGTATATCAAGAAATTCTGAGTTGAAAATTAATAAAGTATTCTCTTATAACAATGGCTGATTGTCTAATGCAGGGAGGAAATTCCGTGATATTGTTGGCAGTGCATACTATGTTGCACCAGAAGTACTAAAACGCAAGTCAGGACCTGAGTCTGATGTTTGGAGTATTGGCGTCATTACGTACATTTTGCTTTGTGGCAGGCGTCCCTTTTGGGATAAGACTGAGGATGGAATTTTCAAAGAGGTAAGACATTTTCTGAAGCTGGGATGTTGATTGTTCATTCGCTACCTTACTCTTGTAAACTTTATGGTTTAATCTCTTCAGTAGAGGAAATTTTAACATTCTCATCCAGAGAGAATGTGCTTTTAGAATTGCTTTACATTTTATTTGCTGACCTGGAACATCAATACACCCGTTCTCTAGGGTGTCCCTCTTTTGTTTTGTAACTTTGATCACTACCATGTTATTCATCAGTCACGTTCATTCCATGAATGGGTTTACTATTTATAGACCCACCTCTGTTATTCAGCTTGAGTACCTTTGCCTATAATCAGAAAAGTGGTACCTTCAATGCCTTTTGCAGCCCTAAAACCCATTCTTCTGTCCTAGGCTGCATAGTTCATGATAAAATCCTAATCCTCAAGGTGAATGGAATGGGAATCAGAATGGAGAAATAGGGTTCTTGGTTTATTTGTTTTAGGTTGTTGTTTTTAAATAGGTAGTGTACGGCTGTTGATTTAGCTTCAAACCTGTGGTAAGTAAATTGGACCAGTGGATATGAATGTTTATCCATGGTATACATGCTTGGTCAGATTGGACCCTAAGGCTTAGAACATGTTTGCTTGATGCCCTTTCCAGTCCTCTGATCTTATTTTGGCTGCATCTTACAGTGGGAATGGTGCAATATTGTGGAAGTTCCCCAAAACCTTAGTGGAGCAGTGCCCTTCATGGGTTGGCTATGTAGCTAAAAAAATGGGTTGGCCTCATGGTTGATGATATATCATTTGGAACAAGATTTAAACATGAATCCCTGAATCATTATTTGTGGTTCTGACACCAAATAGTTGGGACTTGGGATTAAGGCTGAGCTGAGTTGAGTAAATGAAAATGACACTTCTTTTGATTACTGACTTGCTTTTCCATTTATGTATACTTTTACTGAGTGTAACTTCCAATATCTATGCTATGCAGGTCTTAAAAAACAAACCTGACTTTCGCCGAAAGCCATGGCCAAGCATAAGCAATGGTGCTAAGGATTTTATTAAGAAACTGTTGGTGAAAGACCCTCGTGCAAGATTGACTGCTGCTCAAGCCTTGTGTAAGTATCTTCCCTTAAAACTAAACATACATTGTAATGGTAAACCACAAGTTTCTTTTTTGGTGGTTTATTGGACACTGAAATGCATTTATTTTTAAAGTTTCCTTTTCAAGTAATTTTTTGACAAAGTATAATACTGTAACCACTTATCTCCAAGTTTGCTTTCTCATCACATGTGATGGACGGCAAAACTAATTTCTGACCCATTTCTTCTTTTTGCTTGGGTTATATGTAATCTTCCTGACATTGCCATTTTTTCCAGCACACCCCTGGGTCAGAGAAGGGGGAGATGCCTCAGAGATCCCTGTGGATATATCAGTGCTATATAATATGCGGCAATTTGTGAAGTACAGCCGGTTGAAGCAGTTTGCACTAAGGGTAAGAAGTGATTTTCTTGGTTGGAAACTTGGAGCCCATTGTCTCAAGGACCAAATATCTTCACCATGACTTGCACTTAAAGAGTTCCATTAATTCTTATGTCTGCATTTATTTCATCTTGCAGGCCTTGGCTAGCACACTTGATGAAAAGGAGCTTGCTGATCTTAAAGATCAATTTGATGCAATTGATGTGGACAAAAATGGTTCTATTAGTCTTGAAGAAATGAGACAGGCATGCTTTCTTTCGTATTCTAGAAACTTGATTAGCAGGAATTCAGCTCCTTTTGTTTTCCATAACGTTGCCTGTCTGTATGCAGGCCCTTGCAAAAGATCTTCCTTGGAGACTGAAGGAGCCACGTGTTGTTGAGATTCTTCAAGCGGTAAGCTAGTTTCCTTGAATTTGTTAATATAAATGTTATTCAGTGACTCCACTATCCACATTTGTTTATTGCCTGCTTTGTACAATTTTACCATCAGTAACTGGTTTCCTCTAGTTCTTTTCTCGTCATGAAGTTAGGTGTAGTTTTACCTTTGTCATGTTTGAAAAGATGAATTCTGGTTGAATTCCAGCATAATGATTCACCACGGAGTTGAATTGTAGAAATAGATTTAATCCTACGCTTACACCCTATAATAACACTACGCATTTTTTCTTCATTACAATGTCCTACCAAATCCAAATTGTTACTGCTTTTTGCCACTTATTTTGCATTCATTTCTTCATAGGCCTTTGTGCCCTACTTCTTCGTACACCCTCATTCATGCTGTAATTTCACTTCCTAGTTTGTTATGTTCACCTTCTCATGTGGGTTTAAATTTGCTTGAGTCAGATCGACAGCAACACAGATGGGCTTGTGGATTTCTCTGAATTTGTTGCAGCCACTCTACACGTGCATCAGTTAGAGGAACATGATTCTGAGAAGTGGCAACAGAGATCACTGGCTGCTTTTGAGAAATTTGATGTGGATAGGGATGGATTCATTACACCAGAAGAACTAAGGCTGGTGAGTATCAAGATTACATTGGATTTGTGTGTGTGTGTGTGGCAGCACACTCTGAGAAAGCATATGCAGACAGATAAAACTACCAATTATTTTTCTTTCTGTTTCTGACAGAAGAAAGAAAAATCACTATGGTGGATATGCTGAAGAATATGTTTTTTACTTTTAATTTGTCTTTCATAACAAAGTTCTAAATATGGCCAATCAAAAAAAAAATTCAGATGTAATGCCTCTGTATCTTCTGATGCAGAAGGTATAACACCCCATTTCTTTAAGGAAATTAAGTTAGCATTTCTAGGGCACTTGGATCAATTCTTGGTATATGAGGCTCCATAAGTAGGATCTACCTATTCCTTCTTCCCCCAAAGCCTTGTATGCTGTAAAGAAACCATCCCATTGCTACTTGCTTCCTTCTTCCTCATTGAAAGATCTTGATATCCAAGAAATGATTTAATGTCAATACTTACTGTGATCTACTTTTTATTGATCGCAGCACACAGGATTGAAGGGCTCCATTGACCCACTTCTGGAGGAAGCTGACATTGACAAAGATGGAAAAATCAGCTTACCAGAATTTCGGAGACTTTTAAGAACTGCCAGCATAAGTTCACAAAATCTGGCCAGCTCATCTGGTTTTCAAAATTCTCGCAAGTTGTAGATTGCAAGTGAGGAATTCAAAAGAGGTAAGAGAAGAGATAGATGAAGCAGAACTCGTGATTTTATGTACTATAAGATTGCAATCAGAACCTGGAGGACCTCATGTCTATCTAGCACATCTGCATCGCCTAACCTGAAGACCTTTTCCACAAGTCAAATTTTCTGTTGGGATCCAGGAAGACTCAGGAACACACAGATTAGACCAAGGAAAAATGGTTCTGATGAATAGTTTACTTTATTTTTACTGTACATCCTTTGGCATGATGGGGCTTCTTTTTCCATCTCTTTCAATGTCATGTGTGATTGTAAATCATTAATGAAAATATGTTTTCTGAGAGTCACGATCCATTTATCTTGTTCGTGCACTTGAGAAACAATTTACCATTGGTATTGCTAATGCCTGCTGTCCATAGCATGTTTTAGGAATTTGAAGTTGCTAGGCAACTTTGTTCTATTAGAGCAGAGTTTGCTTCTGCAAGGAGAAGTCATAGGGTGAAAGGCGGTTAGGTGGTCTCTGGTAGCAATCCAATAAAATGCAGCCATCTGTCAAAGTGAATGAACATCATCTAACTTGGAACCAGAGCATACTTTTATTGAATTTGAAGGTGGAAATTGAAGGAGATTTGGAAGAGTACAAATACAAATATGTAGAGTGCAAAGTCTTGTATTTTGTATTATTTTGCATGTATTTGTATTGTATATATTTGTATTTGTACAGTCATTGCGTCGCTAAAGAATGAGCAGAAGGTGGCTTGTGCCTTTAGAGATCTACAAAGGAGAAGTAGAGGGCCTACATGCAGCAGTGAAACGGATTTCAAGGATTAACAATGGGATGGCAGATGAATTAGCAAAGGAATAACAAGGTATCCACTATCCATTGTAGTGGGGCCAAATAGGCTACGGATTGAGAATTTCTTTCTTTGGAAGTTAGTCGTGGCTAGCCTCCGTAGTTGGTATTTTCTACCTTGATTTATTCATATTTCAATTTCTAATTAATAAAATTGTGTTGTTATTCAATTTATGTTGTGCAATGAGGTGAGTCACCAAAATCAGTGAGATTGTAATCCAAAAGTTTTAGTGATTAGGTTGTGAGCCAATTCTTGAATATAAATATCTTGTATCTAAGGATTAAAATATCAATACAATATATTTAATACGGCATGAGATATATCATATAGTATGACAAAAGATGGATACATGCACATTTGTTCTCTTTCATAGCATATTGAGGTGGATCATGCAAGCCATTATATCTATCTATTAAAAATACAACTTTCTAGTGTTAACAAGACTTACTTATGTCATCCAAATGTAAAATGCACTCTTAGGCCACTAAACCAACTTCCCATTTCATGCTAAGAAAATGAAACAAAAAATAAGTTTTATTTAGTGTAGCATCCTCATGCAACCCAAATAAATAGTAATATATATTTTATGTTTAACTAAAAATTAAAAAGAGTAATCTTCAAAATAGTATTTTATAAATGTTAACGAAATGAATAATCTATCAAATCCACATTTATGTCAAAAAAAGATTTTTAAGTTCAAGAAATTTATAGAAATAAAAAATACTAATAGATTTATTATTTTAGTAATTAAAATTAATGAACATGCATATGATATATTTAATACATCTAATATATTTTTAAGTTGAGATTATATATTTTTATAAATGATTAATTGATATTTTAATTTACATCAAATAACAAAATATTTATAATTTACATAAACAAAAATATTATTTACAAAATATTTGAGAATTTAATGTTAAGTGGGCTTTTTAGTTAATATTAAATGTAAAATAATAAAATAGTAAATAATTGATTTAGTAATTAAAATATTATAGTTGCATATAATTTGTATCTTGGACTTCTAATTGATGCATTATCAATATCCTTCTATACTAATTGCAATGTATTTCTTCATATGTACCATTAAAATATGCATCTCTGATGTATTTATATTTTATTTATGGTTATTTCAATCTTAACTTTAGTGTTTTTAATGTATTGGTGGATTGTTTGCCTAATTGGAATTAGCATGACCCTTAGGACTCACCGGGCTTAACATTCCCACCCACTGGTGTGTAGTAGTACACAGTGAAGCCTCACAAGTCTACTTGTAACACATGATAAAATGGAGCTTTGTGCTATCACAATAAGGAAATAAAACTAGTGGGGAAGCCCCTACTTTGTAGGGGTGAAATAGAAAAATGTCATTTGAAGATACAATAATAGATTAGATTATTTTTTGTTAGAAAAACAACAATAACTATATTACTACGAATAATAAATAACTATAGTGGGCTCTAGTCTAGTTTAGGACTATCAATGGGTCAGGTCTAGGTAGAGCCAGTTGTGAGTAGAGTGTTAGGCTATGTACTTGAAGGACAGAGGAAGACTGAGTGCAGGAGGTAGGCTAAAGGCTTAGGGCAAATGGCATGATAGAATGATGATCTCATTATGAGTTGGACCCCTATTTATAGGGAGAGATCCTGAGGTCCTGAAAGGAAGAAACCAAAAGCGTTTGATTCCCATTAAAAAAGGGAATCTCGGATTCGTTGTTAGTTGTTAGGGAGCACTACTAAGGTTTTGCCACATATGTTATGAGATATCTCAATGGCGAACTTTCCTTTTGTCTGAGGATTCTTATAATCCACGTGTTCTACTTCCTTTAGTGACCCTTTTAAATCGACATGGCACGGATGGCGTCACTATTTAGCTTGTGTGTCCTTATTAGGCCCACGAGGTGTCCCATCACGCGCGTTATTTGACGATGCACGTGTTTCTATTATTTGCTTCTGACCTACGATGAGTCCATTCTCATCGCGGTTTTGTGGTGATTTTAAGCTCACTACAAGTCCACACGAGTCTGAAACTCATTGCAAGTCCATGCGGGACCAAAGTTCATCGCAACCTGTTTCGGGTCGATAGTTCATCACAGGTGTGCAATGAGTTGTGGACTCATTGCAGATGTGTGATGGCTTATAGACTCATCGTAGACATTCGTGTAGTATTGGTTTGACACCCTCTATATTCTGATGGTCTGAGTGGCCACTATGTACTTACACCAGTCTCAAACTGATTATTTAGTCAGGATAAAATCAAACTTGATTATATTGAAAGCAGTAGTTATTTATTCAAATAATAAATTTAAATTTAAATTTAAATTTTGATAATATAAACTTAATAAAAATGATAAAAAAAAACTAAAATATTTATATGTTAAAAGTTAAACATTTTTCACTAATATTATCACATGATAAAAATTACAAGAAAAACAAATATATATATATATATATATATATTCATAAAATAATTGGTTTCGGATCTGAATCAGTTCTAAACAGGCAAGAACAAGAACTGACCCAATTATTAATTGAGACAAAATCATGGAACCAAAACCATTATAATTGGTTCAGTTTAGGTCCATTAAGTAGACCCAACCCCTTAACAACCCTAGTTTGGTTACCTTTTTGCTAGTAATAATAATTTGTTAATAAATTATTTCTAACTAACTAACTAAATAAATAAATAAAAGTAACTAATGTATTTACTTTTATTAGATAAATTAACGTTTACATAATTATTTATTAGATTTAACAAAATAAATAAATAAAAGCTTATTGGGATGAGACTAGTATAGGCTATCTCGAACCAAATCCAACCCGTTGACAACCCTAAATGTTGGGTCAGGGGATGGATAATGTGTTAGTAAATTATTTTTAAATAAATAAATGTTTAGATGATGATGATAATAATAATAATAATAATAATAATAATAATAATAATAATAATAATAATAATAATAATAATAATAACAATAATAATAATACAAACAAATGAATAAATAAAATCTAAGAGAGAGAGAGAGAGAGAGAGAATAGGAGAGAAAGAGAATTAGGCAAGAGAGAATGATGAATTTTTATTTTATAAGATGGCATAATTGTAAATAATTAAATATCTAGTAACAAATATGAAAGGGGGGGAGAGAATTATGTGATGCTATGATTCATTTATCTTATGTGTGGCAATCATATAGTTTTCAAATGTCATTGAATCAAATATATAGGAAGGTTTGTCTTATATGTAGCACTCATAAAGGTAAAGATGGTACATTTGTCTTGTATGTGGCACTCTTGTAATTTTTGAATGCCATAGAGTCAAGTATATAGAGATAGTCTTATATGTGGTACTCCTGTAATTTTCAAATACCATAGAGGGTAAAGAGAGGTGGGAGAATGGAAAGAGAGAATTGAGAGTGAGAGAGAGTGCAAAGGAGAAAATGGAGGGAAAAGTAGAAAAGGCATGCATAAAAAATTTAGGGTAAATTATAGATTAGTACCCTGTACTTTGGGCCTAGTCTCACTTTGGTACTCGAATTTCAAAACGTGTTAATTCAATACCTGGACTTTCAAAACGTCACAGTTTACTCCATAATCGTTAGTCATCGTTAAGTGGCATGTGAAAATACGCAAATGCCCTTCGGGTGTCAACTAATTTTCTTTACTAACCATCTAAATGCCCAAATCCAAATGTCCTTTGGGTTGTTCACCATTTCTTTGGTTCAATTTTGATTCTTGCAGAAAAAGATGAACACCTTATTTGGAAGGGTAATTTTGACATTTTCAAAAGTTTTAAGTTGCACATGTCATCACGTGATATAAATAACTATCAGGCTATTAATGATAGGGACTAAACTGGGATGTTTTGGGAGTTCAAGTACTAGATTGGCACGTTTTTAAGTTCAGGCACCAAAGTGAGACTAGACCCAAAGTATATGATATTAATCTACAATTTATCCAAAATTTTATAGCATGTCTGTCAAGCAAACAACATACCATGTGTTGACTTCCAAATTAGCATCACCCTTAAGTAGGGGTGGCAACGAGTTGAGCTTTTCATGAGCTGCTCGAGCTTGGCTCAATTTCAACCAAGCTCGAGCTCGAGCTCGAGCCCAATTCATTGGCTCGATTATTAAATGAGCTGAGCTCAAGCCTCTTAGAGCTCGACTCGTGAAGCTCGCGAGCTGGCTCGAATGATTTTTTAAATATCAAATAAAAAATATTTTTACATATAATTTTTTATTTTTATAAAATGTTTTTTCTCAAAATCAAGCTCGAGCTTATGAATTTTTTACTCGAGCTCAAGACTCTGACTCGAACCGAACTCGAGCTGGAGCCTTGTAGAACAGTCAAATCCTGCATTTGACGTTTTAGTCATTATATTAAGGCGTATCCTAAAAGATAAATTCATCAAAATTCACCGGGTGGGGGGTCTTGATTGGTCAAACTCTCAAACGTGAGAGTGGATTTAGTGGTTTGACCTAGGGGCATTTTCCAATGTTTTTTTTTTCGTTCTAAAAATAAATCACAACCATTTGGTTTGAAAATAAATTGTTTTTCAAAATAAAAACACAAAAGCATATTCTTATTGTGTAGATGTTTTCTGTTCTCAAATGTTTTAGGAGTGAAATTTTGTTTTTGTTTTAGAAATATAATTTTCATGATTTCAAAAACATGATTTATTTTTGGAAACAAAACGATCTTATTTTCACTTCTCAAAACAAAAACAAAGTTAAATAACGTGATTTTTTTTTATATTTTGCTGACATGACAATTTTGAAAAACAAGTTAGAACATTCATATTCACATTAACATTGTCGAACACCTTCCTAGATTCTAAAAATCATGGTTAGGACTCAAGTAAACCTGTTTTTGTATGGATTTGAGTCTTTACCATGATTCTTATCATTTCTACCCTTGTTATGCTAAGGAGGTTAGGAGGTGGGATTTGGAATACGTGTATGAAAAGGATGCCATTTAAGATCAGAAACTACAACTGGTTTGCTCACCGTTCAAGTGCCCGTTTGGGAGGGCTGTGGCTTCTGGCTTTGCAAGGTAGGCCCCACATGGATATTCATGAAGCTATGTTTTGTGAAAAACTCAAAAAGCCCAAAAACATTCTTAAATTAAGCTGAGAAATCAATTTTACGGTGGAGTTGGTTTTGGTAACTTATTCGTAGTGGCTCAATGAATGCAATTCAATCAACACTGAAGCCCTTGCAAACAGACTAGAACAAGATCTGGTTGTATAGGGGTGTTCATAATGTCAGTCAAACAGACTAAACCAGCCTGACCCAACCCGATTTGGTTGATTTTTTAAAATCATCGGTCGGTTTCAGTTCTTGTAAGTAAATAAACTGATAGATTGGGTCGGTTTCGGTTTTTAAGTGTGAAAATTGAAACCAACCCAAATCGAACCGAACATGTAATCTAAAATGTGTTTCCAACTTTCCATCCTTGGCTATTGCTCCTTACTCTTTAGTCCTTTTCTAACCTAATTAATTGCCTTAAGTTTAAGTAACAATAGTCAAATGGGGAATTGATTTTGTCTTGGGTTTTGATTGCTATTTCTTTTTTCTAATATTTCTTCCTTTTTTTACTTTGTTTTTTGAGTTGGAAAGTTTACATAGGAAAGGAAAAGGAAACATGGGATATGGGAAAATATTTTTTTTTATTATCTTCTCAAGGGCTACACAACGGGCGGGGGGGGTAGCCCATCCCCCGACTCAGGTGCAAGCGGGATTCAATCCCAAGTCTCCACTACGACCAGCAGAAAACCTTACCAACCAGCTGTTTGAATCAATTTCAAAGTCTAATTGAAATAAGACTAACACTTTTATCTATTGCCTTTTTGGGACCAGCAAGACTTGTAAGAAAGATCCCTAAGGTTTAAACTTACCAAACTTGGGGAGAAATTTCTGTCATGCACAGTTGCACACACTACACGGCCTTTTGTTTGGGTCTGAGTCACCTGACCCATCTGAAATCTGCAAATTCCCCAAACTGACCAACTAAACCGACAAATTGGCCCAAACCGATCCTTCATATTTGGGTTGGTTTTACTTCAGAGTTGGTTGGTTTCGGCTTGCTGAATAAGCAACCTGACCAGGTCAAGTTGGTTGAACAAAATCACTGAAACTGACCCAACCCGACCTGTGAATACCCCTACAAGTTGAATGGAATGGTAAAAGTTTATGAACTCCTAGAAGGTCGGAAACTATCGAAGTTAAATTTTAACACAACCATTTAAACGCCCCAAGGCAAGTGCAGGATTCCATACATCAAATCCAACCAAGGGTGGTGAACCAACAGAAACTGGAGAAAGGTGATGATGTAGGAGAACAAACAAATAAGTTGGAGTATGCAAGGACCACCTGAAGTTTAAAGGAGACTCACGATCTCTTAACAATTACCTTCTAATGCAATTGGGAAATCCAGACTTGATGGATCTCAATGAAAGATATCGAAGAACATGTTGTGGGCTGATGTATTGTTTCATTTGACACCACATACTTGACCCCCCCCCCCAAAAAAAAAAAAAAAAAAAAAAAAAAAAAAAAAAACCGAAAGATTTGTCATTCGCACCTTCCTTTTGTTGGAGCAAACCATCAAGCACAATCCGTGTTGTTGGGTTGCAGTTTTCCTGCAAATGAATCAGTAGTCAATTTATTTGGTTATTCCACAGACCTTCCATCCTCAACGCATGTTGCAGATTATTGAAATAGTTAGAAAAGACTACATGGACATGAAGCAATTATAGGAGAAATAAGTAATATAGTTTATTCAAAATTTCAAACCAAACACAGCCTAATTGTTTAAGAGAAGATGAATTAGAAACAGCTTGGAAAGATAATGATCCAAATTCATGGCGTTAGGCCTGGTTTATCTGCAGTGCAATATCATTTGCACTGATGCAAAAGTATGGAGTGCAAATAATAAATTCTGATTCATTTTTGCTTCAACTTTTACCCTTTTTATGTTTCAAGGTGTTTTGATTCTCTCATTATAGGCTTAATTTGACTACAACCGAAAGGCTTTCAAAACTTGGAGAATGACTAGATGGCAGTAAATAGAAGACGTATCCTTTTTTAGGCCTCAGAAGTCCAACCATGCTGTTAATAGAAGACTTCTGTGCATTTATGACTTCTCTAGAACATATTAGTATTTAGAAGTCAAACTCTGAACTGTTTTAACCAATAGCGGGTTAAACTTAAGATGGTAACAATTGAACCTCATATACATTGTCAGATCAACTAATCCATGCCCTCGAATGATTTCGAACTCAACTCTTCATTATCTTCAAGCTTTTACAAGAGAACAACTCCAACCGTAGCCCTACAGGAACACCTTATGCATCCGGCTTCAGCTGTCACAAATTTACACTAATCAACTGAATTTGGCCTTTTAAACCCAATGGATCTATGTTGCTACACTACTAGAAGTTAGTTTTCGATCAGAAGGCAGACATTTTGTATTAATAATTTTATTTATCAATTAAATCCCAATCAGAAATATAGTACTAAGTTCAGAAAAGTTGGACATTCAAACAGAAAACCTTGACCTTTTCCTTCTTCCTGGGAGGGGAAAACTGGCTCATGATCACCACTCAAGAAATGCTCATAGTTTGATTACACTATATTGCTAACTGGAATACCCCTTATTCAGCTTTCAATTGACAATTTTGTACACTGGTTCATCAACAATGATCAAGCAGCTACCTTCTTGGATGTTACAGAATTGACAATAGTAGCAAACTCAGGACCCTGCAACCATGAGATTTCAAATGGTGTTAGGACAATGGAAAAATCGATACCCATATCTTAGCACATGTTTTACAATCCAACAGTCTGCAAGTATTGATATATCCAACATGGTTATTCTTTGTGTCTGTGCAGCTTTTTTCTTTCTTCTGTTTTTACTTGAGAGGGGGATTGGGCTTCACCAACACATTAGGGAGGGAGGAGGAGATTAAGAGCACCAATTGTTAGCCACTCTTGGAAAATTCCTATGCTGAAAATCCATCCATCAAAACAATGTTACCTTGTGAAACTAAATTCTTACAACAATAGATGGATGGAATTTCCTGCACACTATTTTTTGCAGTCAAATGAATGAGACTTCAATGGTTCAGATCATCTCACTTGGCTGATTTCGGATTGAGAAAAATCTGCCAAGTGGTAGATCCCATGGAGAACACCCAGGTAGAGAAAACAGAAAAGAAAATTAAAATTCAAAAAAAAGAAAAGAAAACCTAATGATTTACTGCAGATATCCTGCTTCTTATTCTGAGTGTCATGATAAAAAACAACCAGGTTGACCTAAAAAGGGCAAAATTCACAAACCTTGTGAGAAGAAGGGATATACATGAGAATTAACAAAAGCAGGTTAGAATGCCAAATGTGAAAACAGTTGGATGTTCATGTCCATACTGAAGATACAAGCATCAAAAAAGAATTCTGCCTGCAATCATATTCTCCTCTTTTATTCATCCAAAAAAAATCTCATCATGTCACTTCATCATCAATTGCACTAAAGTCAACATCTTCACAAATTATGGGAGTACCTTTAGAGAAGCACCACCAACAAGAAACCCATCAATGTCTTCTTGTTTTGCAAGCTCTGCACAATTGCTCCCATTTACAGACCCTGCAAATGAAGTCAGGTTCGTGATTGACCAAAATTGGAACCAAACAATTCAGACAAGTGACACCAAATTAATTCATTGCATGGGTATAATCAGACAAGGGGAGAAATCATGGATCTTGGGTTATTGAATAAGAACAACTACTTCTAATTATGGTTATTATTGTCAAGGAGGGAGGAAAGGACTGAAGAATGAAAAGGTTCCCAAATCCCCTATACAAAAAGATCCACTTGATCCTACAGACCCTGATAGCCACTTTCAATCACCAGCACCAGAAAAGGCAAAGATCTTAACTGTATTTTCCCTTTTTCCCTACAATGCCTATAGATGCTGCATATGCTTAGTGCATGTATCTTACCCAAAGCATTTCTAATAGATTCATATTTTTATCAAAAAAATAAAAAAAAATGCAATCCATCATCCTAAAAGACAACATCAATAGGTTAACACACCAACTACCTTCTACCACCACAAAAGAAACCACCGGTACTTGGTGTAGTGGTAAAATCTCAGGCTGGCAAGTATGAGAATGCAGGTTTGAATCTGAGAGCAGCCACTTCGTGAAAAAAAAAAAAAAAACGAAAAAATATGCCAGAGGTTAGGACTCTATCCAGTCTACCCCTCCCAAGACCCCAGATAGCTGGGACCAACATAGGGCAATGGCTTAAAGTTTCAAACAGGAAATTCAAACTTTATGATTTTCCTTTCACTAAATCTATTTTTGGATTAATGGAGCTACACAACGGGGGTAGCCCATCCCCCATCCCCTTAACCCCCCAACCCTGGTGGCAGCGGAATTTGATCTCAGATCTCTGCCACAAGAAGTCACAGACATGGGACCAACATTGGGCAATGGCTTAAAGTTTCAAACAGGAAAATTCAAACTTTATGACTTTCCTTTCACTAAATCTATTTTTGGATTCATGGAGCTACACAATGCGAGGTAGCCCATCCCCCATCCTAGATCTTTGCCACAACAAGTCACAGACCTGGGAACTGGGATAACTAAATCTTATTTCAATAAATCTTAATTAACTAAATAATGACCTAGGATAAAGTTTGCTAGGATTCCCTCCAACTCATGCAAAAATAGAAAGACTTGAGAAGCATGCAATTTTATGTCTTTTATGTGCCGCATCAAAAAAGAACATAAAATACCTACCATCTAAAGGTACTCCTACTGCAACATAGTAAGAGTGTGTGCTAATTTTAAAAAGGGGAAGAGAGAGAGAGAAATTTGAACCAAGGTTCTAAATATCGATACAGGCCGATATGCCAGTAGGGCGTATCAGGCTATCAGCCTGTATCGGTGCTTTTTTTTGGTGTTTTATTTATTTATTTTTCAAAACCGGTTCAGAGGGATCGGTTTTTAAGTCCCGGCTACCCTCTGAACCATGGCCTGACCTGATACACCCCCTGTAGGGGCGTATCAGGAAGGCCCCGATACAATATGTATCAGCCGATACGGGCCAATACGTAACGATATTTTGAACCTTGGATTGAACCACAAACTCTACATTTTTCCTATTTTCTCGACACACTGAGTGATTGACAAAAGTCCATAAAAGAGAAGATACAAACCATCATTGAAGTATAAAATGGCAAGGATAATGGTAACTACTAACTATCATAATTCACTCACTGAGCTACCAAAATAATAAATGCCTATGCCTCCAATATTATTGCTTGGTAGTTGACATGTCTTCATTCTAACCAAAAGAAAGGGAAATTCTATTTGACTTTTCCTTGCGTCAGTAATAATAAGAAATTGAAGAATTCATGTATCGAGAGACCAACCTTATATGATATAATAATACTAACTTGATATAGCTTCAGCTGGAAGAAAATAGTTAACCAATAGTCTTAAACGTGCAATTTTCATTCAAAGTGCTACGGATGCCAAAAGGATGAATAGTTTTGGAGAAATTTACAAAATGGGGTAATGACTTTTTTTTTCTTGGGGGGGGGGGGGGGGGGGGTCTTTACTTCCAGTCACATTTATGGAAAGCTCATAAAAAAGGTCTATGGACGTTCAATATATGGATTTGGCCCTCTTTACAGGTTGTATGCTTCTTTTAAGGAAACCTAGAAATTCTGTTCTGAAATAATGCTTCCACCTTTGCATAAAATGTTTTAGTTCTAAAATAACATATATTTGTTAGTGTAACATAGTAGACTATCAATGTAACACATAGAACCATGACAAATTTGCAGTTTTCATAAATCAAAATGATCAAGGTTGTAGTTGGATATGGAATACCTCCATAGATAATACGTGTTTTAGAAGCAACTTCTTCTGAGACATTCTTCTTTAGCCAGTCGCGAACAGCGACATGTACTTCCTGAGCTTGCTGGGGAGTGGCCACCTTACCAGTCCCAATGGCCCACACAGGCTCATATGCAATAACTACATCATCCCAACCAGGTACATGCTCTGCATACCATGATCATAGCTCAAATTAGAAAGCAGTCATATCATTAGGAGTGCAACCACAGGAAAAGGCATAGCACTGAGATTAAAAGACTAGCCTGCAAAAGCCTTCATCTGTTGGAAGCAGACGTCAAAAGTTTTCCCAGCCTCTCGTTCTTCCAGTTTCTCTCCAATGCATGCTATTACCTTAAGATTCTGGCTCAGGGCATATGCAGCTTTCTTTCCTATAAACTGAATTGGCAGGATGCCAGTCAAGTTAAGGTTTGCATCTGCTAGTCATAACATGGATTTAAAAATGTAGATGGACATGGAGATAGGGCTGCAAATGGATTGGATTTGAATCAAATATACCTAGATCTCAATTCCATCCATTAATAATTCGGATTCAAATCAAATCTTATCCATCAGATTCAGATATTGTATATAACTAACAAACTAAACTACAAAAATGTCATTTCTTGGTATAATGGTAAAATCACAAGTTGACAAGTGTGAGAACATGGGTTCAAGTCTGAAAGCAGCCACTTTGTGCAAAATGCCAAAAGACCCCAGATGGCTAGGATCAACATTGCATAATAGCCTTTTTTTAATAAATCAAACTATAAAATTATCAAAATATTATATATTATCAATAACTGAAGACTGAACTAGAGGTGACTTTGATATTATATATCATGAACAAGACGGTTTAAAAGTAACTCCTGTGAAACTTGAACTTATAATTTGTTAACAAAACTGCAATATCCAAGCCTACCTTATTAGTAAATAAAAGGCCATTAACCAATGTTGGTCCCAGTTATGTCTTGGGAGGGGTGGACTGGATACAGACCTAATCTTAGGCTTTTTTTTTTCTTTTTTATACGGCATAAGGTGGCCATTCTCAGACTTCAGCTCATGTTCTCAGGTTTTCATCCCAAGGTTTTACCATTAGACCAAGCAATGGCCCCTAAGCCAACCTTACCAGTAAATACATATTAATTTTAAACATTATCAGTTTTGGATTGATCATATCAAATTGTTGTGAATCCATATTCAATCCAATTATAAACAGATTGAATTTAAATCACTTTAATCAGATCAGTTTCAAACTCAGGTTTGGACAAACTGATACCATTTGCAGCCCTACTTATAGAATGGAAAACATTTATTGTTTAATGAGGAGATATATACGACATAATGTTGGGAATCAATACCTGATCATCCTCACCAATAATATGTCTCCGTTCAGAATGCCCAAGAATAACCCACTTGCAGCCAATATCGTTCAATTGTTCCACACTTCATAAGAAAAAAAAAAAGAATTTAATTTGATCCTAGAATTAAGTTCATAAAACAGGAATGTGTTGGATTCCTTAAAGAATAATAGCATTAGTTAACTGGATAAAACAGTAAAGAAGAAAGACTATCATCAAAAGATTGTGATATTCATCTTTTCTCTTTTTCTCGCTTTATAGAAAAAATGGAAGAGCGAGCATGCCCCATGTAGAAGGTTTCTATATACAAATTGGAAGAATGAAGCCAGAACCTTTAAAAGGTTTCCAAAAAGAAAAAATAAATGTTCATGCATTGCTATGAACTGCAGTCTCCCAACAAAGAAGGACAGAGAAAAAGAGAAAAAGAAGAGGTGGGAGGAACATCTAAACTAAGGTGGCATTTGGCAAAACTGAACTCGTATAACTGAGAAAGTAAAAAGGATCTGATTGTGACTCTACAGTGAATAGCCAAAGTTTGCTTCTTTGTTTTTCTGTCATTTAAATGCAATTGAACTGTTTGAATACCTGAATGTAATAATATCTAAAATGAAATTGTGTTGCATATTTACCCCTATGAACTTATGAGCTTTTTCTTTTTAAATGAAGAAAAAAAATAAGGGAAAATGGGAAGAAAATGGTTTACTAATGGCACTAGCTCCACCAAAAAAACAGAAGCAAAAGAGAGATGGTGTGTGTGTGTGTGCGTGCGTGCGCATGCACGCGAGAGAGAGAGAAGGTTTTAGGTAGAAGGCATAGATTTCCTATCAAAGTGTGAGGTCATTTTTGGAAGGAAAAGTTATAAAACACACCTTAACTCATTAAGAGGCAGATGGGCATGTGAGCTATTAAGAAGAATCTTTAAAATTAAGAGTCCAGATTCAGATGTTGTACCTAGGGGTCGATTCGAGCCAAGCCAAGCTGAATAGTATGAGGCTCGAGCTCAGCTCACCTAGGAAGTACAAGGCTCGAGCTCGGTTCGAGCTAGAACCTTGAGCTTGAGCTCGGCTCGAGTCAAAAACTCGTAAGCTCGAGCTGGACTCGGCTCAAATTCGATTTGAGAAAAAATGTTTTATAAAAATAAACATTATATATAAAAAATATTTTTTATTTGATATTTAAAAAATTAAGAATTATAATATTTTTATTATATATATTATTTTCTATAATTTTATATATATATATATATATAGCTCGGCTCGTTTATTAATCGAGCCTGTAAATTGGGCTCGAGCTCGACTCGAAGCTTGGTTGAAACCGAGTCAAGCCGAGCTTTTCACAAGCCGAGCTCGAGTAGCTCGTGAAGAGCTCGGCTTGTGGCCACCCCTAGTTGTACCAAATGGTCTGGGATATCTGAAAAGTAATCTTTTTCAGACCTCAAACATCCATTCGGTGCAAATAAACCAGCCCTAAGTCTACCTATTTGTAACCAGATTTTGGGATTAAAAGAAGTTCAAATGATAGAAAATTAGAAACCTTCACTCTTAGATTTCTATAACAATGGTTATCACATTAAAGCAGAGTCTTCAAATCAAATAGGGACTTTCGTAGGTTGCAAGCAGCATAATGATACAGACAGGAACTGCTCGCTCAAGTTTTCTGAGCTTAGATAGAGAAAAAATCTAAGATTTGTGAAAAAACTAATTTTGCATATTCAATTAAGAGAAGAAGAGGACCTGATTTCCCCTGTAAAAGCTCCACCCTTTCCAACCCAAGAATTCTGAGCAGATATCTCAATTCGATCTGTTAATGAGTTCTTTACCTGATCAATGTATACAAAGGGAGGTGCTACAACAACATCTGCATCATTCAAAAAAAGAAAATAAGGAACTAAAATAGATTTTTTGCCTTTTAAGTAGATACAAAGTAACAATGACCATATTTTAACTGTTATTGCAGAATAAAGCTCAATTGAGAGACAAAGATCACTACAACAAATTAAAGTGCCAATAGAATTAGCATCAAAGCAATGCCAGTAGAAGTGAAAGGGATCAGGAAAACTTTGGATCAAGATATCCTTTAGCAGTCGAAGATAATTTTCTTCCTGTTGCATTGTAGGAGTAACATTTACTAAAGGAAAGCAGCACCAATAAAAGATGCATGCTGAGGCTTAGAAATAATGGAGGAATGGTAAAAGTAATCAAGCAGAAAAATAGTTATCTCACCAACATCAGCCTCCAGTTTGGCATTGTTCAAGTCAGAAACTAGTTTGCTGATAGAATCTTTTGTTCCATTCTACAAAAAAAGAATTGCAGAGGATGCAACAAAGTCAACTAGACAAAACTAAGACCAATTTAATAAAGACAAAGAATCAAAAGAGAAAAGTGAAATTGCAAGTATAATATCATGATTGAGTCTGAAAGAGAAATCAGAAAATTTCAATAAGTTACAAAATACATAGCTGTAAATGAAATATCTTATATAACAAGATCATAATTAGAAATCATACATGGACCATGGATGTCCTGGCAAACTTTTGATATGTATTAATGCTAAGGTGCCAAACACAACCACCAAGTGTCGGACAACCTGTACTGATCAAACCCAAAAGTTGACACATACACAAGGTTGTCCATAATGTTATGACAGTCATGAACTAATCTATAGTATTGAAGTCTCCATGAATATATCCTAAACTTAATTAGTCCTTTTTCCTATTTACATAATGCAAAAGGTTGGAAATTCCTCCATTACGGTTCAGATTAAATGGATCTCAAGGGAGCTCATATCTCACCCACGAGTTAGTGAAATCAGGTATGGGTAAGGACATTCTGTTTAGTGATATGCCTGCTAAATTTTTTGTTTGGGTTCAGGGATGTTTTCTATTTTTTGACTCCTTTCTCACTATACATCCTCTCATGTGTGTATCTATCTATATATTTTAAAATATATGCTATTTAAAGATAACAAAGCACTTCAGTTGCCAAAACTCTAGGGAAGTTGCATATCCAATGAGGATTTAAAAAATCTTATCTGGGTCCTCAAGTGATCTGTTCAAAACATTAGTTGGCACCTGTTGAGGAGTTAGTATATTTTATGCTATGCTATAGGCATTTAGTTGGTATCTGATTATTTTACTGTGGTCCAGCATGTAACTTATTGCTGCAAACTATATAAAGTGATCTGGGGTTAATGGACTGATCTCTTGACTCCCACAATCTCTTGTTCTTCAGCTCTTTCTCTTTCTTTCTCTATTTGCTGTTCTATCTAGACCAGGTTCGAGAACTACAATTTTGATCTCCTTAAGAGTGCAAAGCCAGTAAAGTCTTGGGCGCACAACCCATAAAAAGTAGATCCCTTACTAAAACCCCATCAAGAGATTTAAGTGGATGACCGCTTAATTGTCTGTTGTACTTGAGGCTGCACCTTGCACCTCTGGTTGGGAAGTATTCATTGTAAAATCCTTTGTTTTAATTAATTGAATGAAATACCTTATACAGTTTACTTATCAAAAAATGATTAAATATACTTGTGCTTGGTGGCCTTTACCTAAAAAGCCTCCTCCTCCTCCTTACCAAATGTTTTATGGCACGTTTGGGAGGACTGATCTGAAGATTCAGATAAGCTAGTTCATCTGCTTTGAACACTCCGTATAGATTATTTAGGTCCCAGCTCCTAGAGAAGACTACCTGCTGACTCCTGGATTATTCTCTCTCTTCTTCCTATTTCCCTTTCCTTCCCTTCATTTCACATTTATTTCAGATTTACATTTGGCATTAACTAAACGCCATATCTGCTGCTCCTGAGTCCTGTTCTGCAAATTCATAAGACTCAAAATAGTCAAGGACAAAAAAAATCGAAACCACTGGGGGCCGTTTGACAAGTCTTTTTTGAAAGATCTTCTGGAAGCTCTGACAGCCAAAAGACGTTGTGAGCTTTTGCATCAAGATCTTGACAGCCTGAAGACTGTTTGGTTAAGGCGTGTCTTTCCACGCGAAGACGAGTTGAAAAAAAAAAAAAGCTCCATTTGGAGCTTCCCAAAAATAGCCCTTCGCACGCCTTTTCGATGCAAGCAAATGGAAAAAGACCACAATACGGTCTGTCGGGCTTCTAAATAGCCAACAGACCATGCAGAAAGACACACCAAATGGGGCCTCAATCTACCATGCACTTAGTGGTTTGGAATTTGGCCAAAGAGAACAAGGAATGTCAAGAAAGAACAATCAAGATCCCAAGTAATGTTAGAACCAAGATTGCTCCATCCTTGAGAAGTGATCCCAGGGTTGTCATGGCATCTAGAACCCAGTTAGACCTTGTTTTTTTTTTATCAGTGAAACCCAGTTAGACCATTTGGACACCATCTTTCTTTATTATTTGATCTCAATTATTCATATGCCAATCCTTACTTATTTTCTTTGTATTTTATAGTTTAATATTTGCCTGAACTTTTGGGAAAGAACGGTCCTTCATATTAAAGAAAAAGTACCCCAGCTCATTTACATTTACAAATGAAATTATATTGCATGCATCTGATATTTCATGTTTGCATTGCTCAGGGGACCATCTTTCAGGGAGGCCCTTGTATGGGTTTTCCATCCATGCATCATATAAACAGTTAGTTAACTAGGGAAAATTGCATTACAATGGTAGGATGTCAAATAAATGATATTCCTGAACAGTTCTGTACTTCTATATAACAAACACATTACACCTAAGATCTTGAAACCCGGTCACCATTAAGGCAAAAAATCTAACAAAACAATACCAAAATCCAAGATAAGGACAGAAATAAGAAAATGGCATGTGATAACAGGTACTTACGCACTTCCAGTTCCCGCCAACAAAAAACTGCAATCACAAGAAAGTAAGGTATCAGGCAGTGCAAAGACAAAAAGTACAATATAAAACACTCAAAAACCCAAAAAGAAACAAGAAAAAAAATCTCTGCATGTACATTAGTTTAACTGACAGATCTTTTGTCCCATCAGCCAGAATTCAACAGTATGTTGAAGCATATGGCATTGCTATGAAGAAACAAAATGTCTTATTAAAGAACAGAAAGGTCAAAATAAACAAAAATAATCAGAAAAAAAAAAAAAAACATCAAACTTTCAAATTCGCTGGGCTAGAAAAGGCTTTTGTCTATACAGAGCTTCACAAAATAGATCTTCTAAATTCTAATGATCAAGAGAAAAGGATGCTTTTCCATAAATGTCCAAGAAACACCAAGAGAGAGCCTTTTTGACTTAGAATTCCATGCCAGATAGGAATCCAGAAGCCTTGCAATTTTTTCGCAAGCCGATTAATGCATCAGTCCACTTTCAGCAAAGATACATTTTCAGGCTAGAAGCTCCAGAAAAAAAAAAAAAAAGAATTAAATGAAAGAAGAGAAGATTGGAACCAGATTGCTTCCACATTCCTAAATACTGAGAATAACCACTGAAAGTCTAAAACTTAGCGAAAAAGAAAAAAAAATGCAAATATGCATTTGAACAAAGAACTTAAAAAGAGAATAAAAAGGAAGAAGGCCAATCCCAGGAATCCATGCGCTTAACGAGAAAAAGGGGAAAAAAATTCTCGCTTAACGCAATTACATTCACAGCGTAAATGGAACTAAAGAAAGCCACCAAATTACAGAAAATATCAACAGATAGAGATACATACAGTCATACACACATGTCGAATACAAGTTTCAATAGCAATCTAAATGAAAGGAAAATGGAACCAAAACAGAAAGAGCTAGGGGTGGAGGGGGAGAGAGATTGTATAAACAAAAAAAAAGGTTCACCTTTCCGGAGCCGGCCATGGTAATGACACCTCTGCAACCTCGTCGAGCTGCGGAGAGATGTAGGTGAGAATCAACATGCTGAAAAAAGAATTGGGTTGTTGATAGTGTTTGCGACTGATCCAACTTCAAGCTCAAGCCAGAGAGACGCAGTCCACAGAATTGTGGACAGGAAGAGATTGTGGACATCATCGCCATTTCTCAGATCTTCCTCAGCTACTGATGATGCAGCTTCTTCTTCCCAGGAGGACACCCTACGCTGTGGCTACGACAAACCAACGGTCAGCCGAGCGAGTTTTCACTTTAAAAAGACTACGGTATCAGCGTTGTGGTTTTCAGGCAAACACAAGACGGAAAAGAGAAGGAAAAAAATCTGAAAACGTACACAAAGCTGACGAGTTCGGACCTGCTCTGACAAATCGCGCCTCACACAGACCTCACAGAACGTTTCATCCGTGAATCTGAAACATCTCCCATCATCAAAAATTTACAATTACGGAGTTGTTCTAGATGCACGACTGAAACGTGCTGTGACGTCTCTGTGAGGACCAGATCTGAACTCAACTAATCCGGACAAGACAGATTCGGGATGGAACCTCGCTGGCTGCTGCTCTACGACCAACGCCTTTTCTATCTTCTCCTACTTTTTTTAATAGGATAATACGAAAGTCCTCGTCCTTTCGCCACGTGTTTAATGAAAATGAAATCAAAGTATTTTTCGGATTGGTGGGGTGGTCACGGATTCAAATACACGTGGGTCCACGCCCACCAGTCGCGCAATTTTAACTTTTAACAAATGCCAGATCAGTAAACACTGTAGCTGTAGGCTGTGTTTGGTAGAGGTGTTAATAAATCTCCTAAAGCAGGGATAATTTTGAAGTTCGGCTTCTGTCAGGGCAATTCGGAGTTCGTACCATTCGAGCAGCCTCTTGTAACCTTGTATTGGGAATATAAGGCTGTAAAGGTTGTTGGAACGGGCTTTGCCCTGACCCAAGCCGGATTCATAATTTTGGGGATTGGGGTCCAACAGGAGTCCGAATCTCCTACCCACATGAGATCACAATCGTACATGAAAAACATCCCCTGCATAGTGTTATGCACGAGGAGATGTTATTAATGCAGGGTAGTGTTTTATGGGTAGGTGTGGACAAAGTTATCATGAGTAAGGATTTTAAAATCGACTCGAAAAACGAACCGGTCAGGGCACCATTTTCCGGTTCGACGGTCAATCATCCGGGTCGAACGGTTTGACCCGTGACGTCATAAATAAATAAAAAACAAAAAATATTTATATGTGATAAAAAATAACAAATAACTCTCTCGTCTCTTCCCTTTAAAAAGAGTCTTGACTAAGACCTTGGCGGCATTGAGCCAGGTTTTTATCTTAAGGTCTAAGACATCCCAAATTTCCAATCCATCTTTTGGATGCGAGAGGAGGTGAGCTGCTCGATTCCAAGACTTTAGAGACCTTTGATCTCTTTATCGTAGCTCGAGGAAATCATGCAATCGGCGATGGACTTGAGATCCGAAATTGCGAGCGTGGAAGCTTGCTCGACCTCGGAGAAAGAGTGAGCGACGACATGGACGTCGTCTTCATAAGTGTCATCGTAATCGGAGGTGCTGGACGGAGGCGGAAACGAGGGAGGAGCGGTCGGAGATGGATTTGGGATAGAGATGATCAAGACGATTGCGATTCGGGATCGAGATGATCGCGAACGGCGAACGGCGACAGTGGGCTTGGTTGCCAATGCCCCGTGCCGAGTTCCGCTGCAAGCTCGCCGTTCGCCGCTGCAAGTGTTGGTGAGGGTGAAGTATTTTATTTTTTGTTCGTCGTTCGCCGTTCGCCATTGCAAATCGCAGCTACAAGTGCTGATGAGGGTGAGGTATTTTATTTTTTGTTCACCGTTCGCCGTTTGCCGTTCGTCGCTGCAAGTGCTAAAGGGAGTAAGGGATTCGAACTGGGTTGGGAATATAAAAGGTATTTTATTTTTTGTTTTTTAATTTAAAACATTGAAAATAAAAATACTAACCTGCGAACCGCTGCCCAGGTCGAACGGTTTAGCGGTTCGACCGCCCAGGTCAGCGATTTTTTGACTTTTTTAACGTTTTTTAACAATTTCCGATTTTTAGTAAAATCGGACCCAGGGAATGACCAATTACCGGTTTTCTGGTCCGACCGTCCGATTCGGTTCGGTTTTGAAAACCATGGTCATGAGAGAGTTTCTGGGCCAACAACACGTTCATGGTAGTATACCGCTCATGTTTTTGTTTTTGGTCAAAATAAATTAGGGGGCAATTACTAATTTACCCACTCTCATGATAGCGTGGCATTCCCAAAAACTCTCTCTCCCAAGTTTTTCCCCTAAATCAATGTAAAATTGCATGCATGTCACTTTTTGAGTTGAGAATGAAAACAAAATTGGCAATTTGACACCGATTTTATGATGTAAAAACTTTTTTTTTTCTAGATCACTAGTGGAATGGCCCGTGCGATGCACGGGGTATTTGATATTGATGGTGATATTTGACTATTCTTTTACATATCGGGTATAGATTTGTAATTTATGTTTTTTTTTATTTTTATGATTTACTATTTTTTTGTAAATTTTCTATGTATTTCTTTGTTTTTTATAATTTATATTATTTTCTTCATTTTATGTGTTTTCTCATAATTATTTTGCAATAACATATATATAATGGGAAAAATTGAAAGTTGAGGGTAAAGTTGTAAAGTAAAATTAGGGTGTTTTGACCAAACCAATTGCAACATTCTCATTTTTTAGTATATAAGATATACATGGTATAGAAATTTTTATGATTTTCTATATTTTTTTTGTAAATTTTTTGTGTATTTCACATTCTCATTTTTTTAGCGTGGTATAGAAATTTTTATTATTTTCTTTTTTTTTTGTAAATGCTTTTGTGTATTTCTTTGTTTTTTTTGTTTTTTAATTTATATTGTTTTCTTTATTTTGAGGAGAAAGGTGCATAGGATAAAGAGACACCATTTCTATTTCCTCTTTCTTATTGTGAAGTAGGGGGAATGGATAAGATATACACCATACTGAGAGGAGTTTAAAGGAGAGAACTGGGTTTTAGAATTTACTTATTTGCTTCACATGTGAATGATAATATTTGGCCTTTTGCCTCATATCGTTCTGCTCATTAATAGTGGGGTCGTTCTTTGCATATCTAACGGCTAGCATTTGGATATAGGTTGATCTTGATTCATTTATATTCGGATTTGAATTGAACATCTGTTTGATTTTTGTAGAAGAGTCTGGATCTCCTGCCAACAAAACGCATTCCAAACCCCTACGACCCTACCAAGTACCAAACCGCTACGGTATTACGTTGGTAGGGTGTTAGATTATTGGACTGGCCTGATACTCATCGAGAAAAAAGCACCCTAAAACAAATCAATATAATGAACCTAAAAGCATTTCTCGATCCAATACAACTTATTATGTTAATGGAGAATCAAAATAGAGGAGAAATGGGAAAAAAATACCTGAAAAAAATAGGGAAAAAACCAAAAAAGGCTTCATTTAATAATCTAATTGATTGTTCGATGATGAAAATAGAGAGGTCAAAAAAATCCATTCCTCCCTTCAATTTGAATTCTTGGGTTTTGGGTAAACCATCCGATACTTGACACATGTTGGCTCTAATCAATGAAGAGGTTCATCAATTATGCCTGACGGGAGTAGGCCTGTTAATGATACCCGAAAATCCGAGGCCCAATTCAACATCCAATCTGATTATCCTTGATTCAGATTACGTATTTATGTAACCTGATCAGATTGGAATGTTACAATCTACATCCAATTAATAATCAGATCAAATTTGGATTTGATCCAATATGATTTGATTAAAATTTGAATATGATTATATTATAATATTTATTAATTTTAATATATAAATTTTATATTATTATATTAAAATTTATAAAAATATATTTTAAATATTACATTATATATAATAAAATTAGTATGTTATATTTATATTAATTTATTATATATAAAAGATGAAAATAAATATTTTTTTTAATTTTAGTGGTATTTTAGAGAATTTAAAGTGGAGTCGGATTAAATTCGAATCCGATATGAGTTTGTTAGGATTCAAATTCGAATATGAGTCTCTAAATCCAATCGAATTTTGGATCAAATTTGAATGTAGGTTCTTAATATTCGGTTCGGATGCAAATTTTGCTACATCCAATCAGAACCCAATCCGATTGCAGCCTTATTGGAGAGAAGATCAAATAAGGCCTAAGGGGAGAGAGAGGAGCAGGTTCCATAGTGGTTTTATTATTATTTTATTTGTTACAAGCATGAACCGTTAACTAAATAAAATTGGAAAAATAAAAAACTATTATAATTTTATTTGTTTTATCCAATTACAAGTGTTAATTGTTGATTAAATAAAATTAGAAAACTGAAAAAGGGTAAAGATGGAAAGTGAAAATCAGGCTTTTTCACGAAACATTGTCACTATCCTCATTTTTATAAATGGTACAGACAACATTCTCATTTTTTAGTATGGTATAGAAATTTTTATGATTCTCTATATTTTTTTTTAATTTTTTGCATATTTCATTGTTTTTTCTATAATTTATATTGTTTTCTTCATTTTGAGGAGAAAGGTACGTAGGATAAGAGAGATGACATTTCGGCTTCCTACTGTAAAGTAAGGGGAGTGGATAAGATATACACTATGCATAGAAGGGTTTAAAGGAGAGAATTGGGGTTTTAGGATTTATGTCTTCGCTTCGTATAGGGGAATGTTATTCCATCAGGAATGAAAATAGGATTTCGATTCCACCTAACCAAATAGTTGGAATCCAAATAGACCATTCTAATTCCAATTTCATACCCCTATTTTTTCAAACCAAATGGACCCTTAGATCTTGTGAGAAAATATTATCTTTGATGCCATTTCAAATCTTGTGAGAAGCACCATTTTTCCCTTCCATTTGTTATTGTAGATGATGAGTGGGCAAATCCCATTCAAACCATGGTTTTTAAAACCGATCCGGAGACCGAATCGGTCAATGGTTCGATTATCGGGTTGGCCCGCTCTAACAAAAAATAAAAAAATAAAAAAAAATAATCAAAACTATTCAAACGATTAACCGCCCGAGTCAGCAATTTGCTAACCAAAATCAATGGTTTTTTAATGGGCTCTTAGTTTTTCCGATCCGATTTTGAAAACCATGATTCAAACATAATGAATGTATGTAACTGGGTCTCGTGATCCAGTCCCCGTTATTTACACTTAGCTAAACCGATGCATGCTTTATTTTCACCATGTGCTTTTGTGTTTACACTACCCACAATCATGTATAGGTATTTTCTAA